ACTTTGTCTCCTGTAACAACTATTGTTGATTTTACCTTTTCTAACTTTAGGTCCCAAATTCAGAATAATCAAACTATTAAGGTGTATTTTATGCCTAAACTATTCTGGGGTGTTCAAAAATGGCCATTAGGTAACACAAAGATTTGCTCCTTCACTCCTTAAAAATACATATGTACATAGTAAAAATCAGTTGAATTGTCTAAAATTCTTCACAGCTAATGAATTCAAAATTGTTATGAAAATTTTTTTAAACAACCTTATGCCAGTAAATTTCAGTTTAAATGAAGTGTTATTATGATCTCGCAGTTTCTGTGTTTCAGGAATCACATAGCTTAACATCCCATCGCTTTTGCCATATTCAATATCTGAAAGTCAAAATGCTAAGTCCAGCTCACATAAAGGGAGGAGATTACACATGTGTGTAAATAGCAAGAGGTGGGATACATTTTAGAAATGTCTATTACTAAGGTGATAATTTTTTAAAAAGATACAAAGTACTAAACCTAGCATTAAAAAATTAAAAGTGTTACAGCTCAATGTCTGTTTCAGAAATTAAATTCAACACTAAAAATCTCAGAAAAATACTGCAGTTTTAGATGGCTTTAATAGTGAATTCTTTCAAATATTTGAGGAAGACATGTCAATCTTACACAAACTTTTTCACAAAATAGCCTTTTCACTCACTTAAGGAGACAAGCATTATCATGATACTAAACCAAAGAGGGTATTATAAGGAAAGGGAAGTACAGATCAGTGTTTCCAATAAACAGAGATAAAAATCCTGAGCAAAACATTAGCCAATTACTAATATAAAAATTATATACAAAGGATTGCATGTCATTGTGGAGCTTCTCTCTATAATGCAACATTTGTTTAACTTTTGGAGATTAATTAACCAGATAAACAGAATAAAGGATAAAAAAGTATATGATTATCTCAGTATACATAGCAACCACCTAATACAAAATTCAACAATCACTTTTTGTCCTAAAATCACTAAGCAAATTAGAAATAAAGGAGAATTTACACAATTACATAAAGAAATATTATAAAATACCTAGACCTAATATCAAACTTAAAGACTGAATACTCTCCC